TCATACAATAAAAGATATACGCCACAAAACAGGGTTATTTTCATACATCTCATTTTCAAATTTATGACCGATAAACATCTTTGTTGTAAAATTGCACTCAAGGAAAAAAAAACCAAGAACACTGAAGAAAAAGTAAGTGGTTTCAATTTGATGATGTGTTCACAACCTTAAGTGTAGCACTCTATTAAAGGCTAAAAGTACGATCCCAATTACTGCTTCAATGTGTGCGCAAACCCCAAACCATAGCTTATTACCATGTGAACAAAGTCAAGAAAATAAAAAAGCATGTGTTGTAAGACAGATGTATAAATATTTATGCAATCACCCACACCAGCTGTCAAACGTGCAGCAAAATGAGGGCAGGCTGTGAAAGAACAGCCAAGATCAGACATGGTAGCACTTTGAACATTTGAAAGTACCCGTGCTTCTTTTCTCTTTGAATGTGTCTTTTTTTTCCCCCGTACCTGTGGGCTCGGGGGTTCTCCTTCATTCCTGCTATCGCCCAGCTGCGCAGCTGTATTTTTGTTTATGCCACAGCTGGAACAGTCCTGCCGGTATGAAGTCAGTCGCTCGTTCTGACCGTGCCTCATCCAGCGCAGTTCAGCCTTGGTGCACAAAAGCAATCAGAAGTGATGCCGTGATTTCATACGCCTATAAACCCAGCTGTTGACAGAAGGTTAAAAAAAACTTTCAGCCCTGGCTCAATCTCCTTTAAACCTTTTAAAATATCTTATGCCCACATCACTCTTTCATCAAACATATTTATTTAATTTAATTTTATTTTTTTGCATTTGCCTACTGGCCTCTCAGGCACCAATCAGAAATGCAAACACTTCTCAAGCTCTTGCAGAGTTTGCACAAAAAAAGGCCGCACACCCTCAGAACTGACAGGGTCACATATGGGATGTGATCTTTAAGTCTGTATCACTTTACGAAGGTAAATATTAGCCAATGTCAGAGGCGTTTACACTGTAATGAAGTCTTTGAGCTCTACTTTTCCTCAAAGCAAATCTCTTTGGTCTTCTTCTCTCAGTCCCCATGCTTGTTGTGAAGCTTGTCTCGTGCTCTCTGCATCTCTACATCCCCAGCAGCCTCTCACCATTCATCCTGACAGCTCAATCCCCTCACAACGAAAAGTACCCCTCTACTCTTCCTCCTGACCTACTGTGAATAATCATCCCATTAACCCATCCACCGTCACAGAACCTTGAGGACTTCTAAAACATCTTCAACCATTCTTCAGGGAGTCATCCATCATCCAGGCCATCTTCCAAAACAAAATCTTGTCTTTGTGTGCTGCACCCTGGAAATAACTTGTCAATCACTGTGAGGTTTAGATTTTAAGGTGGAAAAAAAGATAATAAAATGTGGGAAGAGACTCTTACAGAAAATAAAGTTTTAGTCTTTTTTAAAGGTGTTAAATATGATTCCATCGCTAGKCTTACTGCTGTGTTAAATCAATGCATGACAGATGAATATAACCTCTTTTTAAGGGARTGTCTGTGTTGTCACTGCTAGCGGAGGGTTTTGCAGGGAGTCTTAAAAATGTCTTGCAGCATTGCAGGCTTCTCACTTTCCTAATAACCCACGCTCTTCATGACTGTATGAGTTTTGGACATGTTCAAAAAATTGTGTACAAGTTTAAAGTCGAGCGGCTGTGGGTAGATCAGGCTTGTGGGCTGTGGTGCAGTGATAGAGCAACTTTAGGACCACAAAGGCACAGGTTCTGATTCCTGCCCATATGCAGTGGTCTCCTTAAGCAAGACACCAATCTTCTTACTGATCCTCAGGCTCTCATAACTTCCCACTGCTCCACTTTGGTGTATCTCATTTGTTTGAYGGGTCAAATGCAGTGAACAAATGTCGTCATTGCATGGACACAAATAATGACAACGCATGGCACTTCCGCTTGAAACATAGGGGAGCTTTCTTCTAACAGAAAACTTGTTCAGGTCTTAAAGCCATGCTGAGGATCTGCTTTTTATTTGAAAAGACCAGTTGTTTATATCTTAAACATGAGAGCAGCTGGGTACAAAGTAAGCAAAGGTGGTCAATTAATGTGCAAAACCTAGGTTATGGTTTTGCAAGCCGTGCACACAAAATCAACTCGTGATTTGTAAAAGAAAAACTGGTTCCACAAAACTTGTCAGTTTGGCACACTGGTCGCTTGGTTGCAAGCACTCAATTCAGTGAGACTGCAAAGACAAATGTGCATAAATGCCTGCAATAATGAGTCAAATTTGAGTCTTTAACTAATCTCCAGCAGCCCAGTAAGATGCACCTTTAGCAGCTAAAAGGAAAAAGGTGACAAAAGAGTAAGACACAACTATGCGAAGAAATACAGTAAGTAAAAAGCATGAGATAATTTTACATTTGGTATTTATTGAAAGAAAATAGAGCAATGGGCCAATTTGTAAAAAGTAACAAAACGTCAAGTATAAAAACACAAAATGTTTACCAAACCTCAAAATTCATATAGAAGCTTATAAATCCACACGGCTGAACTGACTGGAACAGTCTTACTGAAAATCATCATGGGATAGTGGGTTATTAACTGAGTGGTGGTGACACTAACATCTGAACATCTGTGATAAAAATAAAAATAAAATAAAATAAATGTACCAGTAAAGCTGAACGATAGTGATAAGATTTTGTTTCAGAACATTAAGGTGCATTTCCCTTTTGCAAAAAACAGTGAAGACCTGCCGCAGTGAGAATTTAAAAAAAAAAATCTGAAAAGTGACCTTAAAATGTACGGATGGACTAAATAGTCACCTGCTATGGAAACAATACTTTTCTTTCTTTAAGCTTAAAAGAGGATTTAGTTAAAAAAATAAATACAGTTTATTGATTGACTGGATAGACTATGTTATAATATATACACAGAGTGCCTATGAGTTCACCACTGTCACCACAACATTGCCCATACATTTCTGAACCACAATAAGTACTGTAGAGTAATGCTATATGGATACTGTGAATTAATATGGGGGAAGAAATAGACTACAGAATGGATAACTGGATAAGAGCTGAAGAGACAGACGGGTGGATCAAAGTGCAGAATGAAGGAGGGCTCGTTGCAGCACCAGGGGAACAATTCTGGCTCTCAGCCTAGCAGATGGCCAGTTCCACCTCTCACAATATAAAAAGCCATCTTATTGTAGGACTCACAAAACAAAAAAAACAAAAAAAAAAAAAAACTCCTTTACAGTACATGTGGTGAGAGGTGGTGAGTGAAGATTGTCACACAAGCATTCTCCTCTCAACATAACTTCTTAAGAGCCCACTATGACAACTAAAACATCATTCTTGGTAGAAAATTCAATGTCCCAGTCGGTATTTAACTGCATGAGCTCTCTGATAAAAAAAAAAATTGGGTGCTTGTTTTATTTTTTAGAAAGTTTGGGGGCAATCGTGACATTAAAAAAACAACATAGSTAATGACAACTAGGCCAGAATAAAAAACATACCGATCTTGAAATAAATATTTCACAATACTCTCAGTTTCTAAAAACATTTGTTTGTTGTCGTTTTTATAAGATTTTTTTTGTTGTTTTTTTTTTTGTTCCAAAGACATAATTGTTAACTCTATAAATATAATTTATATAGTTTCTTTCTTCCGTTCT